AAGCAGGTCAAATGGCTATCTTTCTGAGTTGGCTGCAGCTGCTTATGTATGCCATGTAAGTGGCGTACCTTCCACGCGATATTTTTTTATTATGTTTCTGCTTTAAGATCTACTAGTTTTCTACAGAGCATAAGATGAACACATCTTTGTTTTTGAAATGGTGTCCTCGACGAAGTAGCAACATTGTTTTCTGCATTTGCCATTTGCATTGTTGTTCCTGTTGAATGTAGCTATTGCTATTGTATCAGTGTCATGCTGCTATGCACCTCTGTCTTATTGGATCCACATGGCTTGAAGTGTGGCAGCAATCCTGTAGAAGCAATACTAGTGTCACGTAACGTCTTGTCAGATCTGAGAAAGCTGGCACATTGAACGACATAAGGAGTGCCCTATCTTAGTGCATCACTATCTTTTTTTTTTGAACTGTAGTGCATCACTATCTTGCTGTAGGTTGGGTCGATGTCCGTGCTGAGGACTACAGTACAGTAGTATCCGTGTATCTAAAGCTTGAGTGTGGTTTGAGTAGAAGGTGGCATGCGTGTGATACTTGTGTTTGCTCTTTCAATAAAGCAAGAAATATTCCTTCAAACAGTGAAATATTCAAACCATGTTCCTAACAAAGCGTAAGCTGCAAAGTTCCATGACAGTCTCTATCACTTAAATTTGTCTATATACATTTATTTCTTCCTTATGCCAGGGTGGTGTTCAAAGAGTGCATATCATAGATGGTACAGTTGATGGATCACTGCTATTAGAGTTGTTTACAAGAGATGGTGCTGGGACAATGATTGCGAGGTATTCTTAACGTCTTTTCTTTTCATTTTCTTATTTAGTTGAAAGGCGTTCAGCCTGGCTTATATTGAAAGCCAACAATGCACAAATCAAATTCTAGGTCCAGTACACAACCAATGCTCCCATGCCTGCTTTATCCTTCTATTGACTTGGATGCATCTCATAAACTCATTAATATCTTTCTTTTTCTTATTCTTGATTCCTGGTAGAAACACTAGCATGTGAGAAATTAGATGCCTCTATAGCAGTTTCAACATAGTATAGAGTATTACTATACTGATAAAAAAATATCTACTTGTGAGCTGGCTTGGACTGGTTGACAAGGTAAAGGAAAAAATAATTAACTATGTGTTTCAGACCCAAGACACTACAACTTCTATGTTGTTGCTATTCATGTCAGCAGCCAGTAGATCCTTTTGCAAGTTTAGCATTAATCCATAATATATGTCAAAGCTGAAGATACATATCAAACATGTTTCTGAAACGAATACTTCACCATGGTATTCTTTGTACATAAAGGTCTTTTGGAATCTAGGCTGTACAAGCTATCATAGTCAAGATTCATGTCCTACCTATCACATGTTTTCAGGGATGTTTATGAAGGAACAAGAATGGCGACGGAGGAAGATCTTCCTGGCATAAGAAAACTTATCTACCCACTAGAGGAATCTGGTGTTTTAGTGCGAAGAACAGATAAAGAGGTGTGTTAAGATTTTGAGGAATCTGATATAATGAGTGCTTCATTCTCTTCATAGTTAGTACATAGTAGTGCTAAAATGTTTCTTTTTTCCAACGTCTCTTCAGCTTCTTGAAGCGTTGTATTCATTCTACGTTGTTGAAAGAGATGGTTCAGTCATTGCATGTGCTGCTCTCTTTCCATTTCCTGAGGACAAATCTGGTGAAGTTGCTGCAATTGCTGTATCTGAAGAATGCCGAGGAAGAGGTCTGGGGGATAAGTTGCTTGGTAAGTTCATTGCCACATGCATTATTTTTGTTGTTCTAAAAGTAGCAACTGACTTGTTGCCACTTGAAGTTTCAAAGATGGTGTTCTATTGCATAATATACTCTGGAAAGATTCACCCATATTAGTGTATGTCTGGTGGTATTGAGCTGTGCTATAGCTAAGAAATACAGGGTTAGCACAATTTTGTTTCTGCTTGATAATGTTCTGTAGCCTGATCTTTAACATTCGCAATGTTTTACATCGATATGTTTAATCTTAAAATTCATGGATCCATGTTGAGGTATGCAGTTGACTGGTTTTCGAAACAAATTGGGGTGTCATTTCATAAAAACAAAACTGTTAGCGGTAGAGCTGACTTAGCGGAATTTACTATTTTTGATTGGTTGATGCAACTCCTGTTCCAGCCATAGCTTTTCCCCAAAGCACATGGACACGCACATGTTTCACTGTGCCCAGTTGGCTCCTTTGTCGTACACATATATCAACTCAAAAAGATTAAAAAGATAGAAAAGAAACCACATCAAAGAATATGGTGGTGAGGGAGTCCCTTTTCGAACTAGCTAGTGTACTACTAACCATCTGACGATGATAGCCAGAAATCTGATTAAAATGATGGAGAAAAAACTACCATAAAAGAAAATGGCGATGAGTGAGTTCCTTGTTAACTAGCAAGTCTGCCACTAACCATCTGATGGCGATGGCCAGAAATCAGAATGTTAATCTGGTGATTTTTCTCTCGTATTCTCAGAAATATTAAAATAGCTCCCACCTGCCGGTGTTAGTTTCTACTAGAAAGGATATTACACACTTTTTTTATTTGTGGTTGTGGTTATGTTTCAGATTACATTGAGAAGGAGGCATTATCCCTTGGTCTTGGCAAACTGTTCTTGCTTACTACACGGACAGCCGATTGGTATGTACCTATATCCTCCTCTTGGCTTATTTATAGCGGTTTCATATCCCACGACCAAGGAAAAATGGTTCACCTCTCTATTATCTTAGTGCAGACATTAAGTTATCAGTTAGCTCAAGTTCGAACATCATGCCAGTCTTAGAGATGTTCAAAGCACTAGGCTCTATTAAATCCCAAGTTTCATTGAGAAAGGTTCCTATGGTCCAAGTTTAGTTTCATGGTCTTTCTTGGGTGTAGATTTGTTAATTTCTTTCACCTGATTTCATTAGGACATCTCTAATAGCACACCTCAGCCATTTCTTAGAGGGTGCCACTTTAGCATTTTGTTCATGTAGACAAGAGAACATGAGAGAATAAAGTTGTTTCTGCAACAAAAAGTAACATTGTTGCTAACACTAGTTGCATGGAACAACCAAACATGCTTTTTGAGGCCAGTTGTTTGTAAATTCAGTCCACCAAAATCTATTGGCGGGGTTAAGTTCTTTTGGTGAAGAAACAATCTGTTCTACTGGAGAGCTTGTTACTTGTATCATAGCGCATGCGGTTGTGTTGTTTCTCTCTTGACCTAGAAAAAAACTTGTTGGGGAGCCCTTTGGACCTGTTACACACTCCAGTGAATGATGAAGTGCAATGATCAATCACATGGGAAATAGACATTGATTCAGCTTTTCATATGTTTGCTTGTGCTTAATTTGAAACGATGCAGGTTTGTGCGGCGTGGCTTCTCAGAGTGTTCGATCGAATCTATTCCTGAGCAGAGAAGAAAACGCATCAATCTGTCACGTGGATCAAAATATTATATAAAGCAGCTCCAGCCAAAGCATGCTGGTGTCCCTGTCAACAATTTTGCTGGCAGATGACAGGACTTCCAAAGAATTTGGTGAGAGTCAGACGAGATATCTGCACTGGTTACATCAAGGCTTTTATATGTTAGTTGTAATTTCAGATAGAAATATAACTGCACCCTGTGATAGCGGCTTTAAAATTTTCTTTTACTTACATGGATGTAAAAAAGGCACTTTGTGCCACAACGGAGAACAAATACCAGAGGAAATTCTATACAGAAACCATCAGCAAGCAATATAATGATGCTTCCCAGGAAAAGCAATTGATGATACCAAATGGAGGTATGCATGTGCTACCCCCCTGATTGAGTCGTCCTGTTCACTGACGGGACATATTCTACACATAAGAGTACTCTGAAAGGAAAATGGTAATGGAAAGTATGAGCTCTTGGTGGACGGCAAATCACTCGTTATGCTTCTGGAAAAATAAGTGCACACGCCAGATAGATTGGCGGTTTTCTTTCTTTTGCATCCATCAAGATTTCGATGTAAAAGCTTGAAAATGTGAACCTGGTGCTTGATTCCTGCAATGTTTGATTCCTATGGTGATTTCCTTTTGCCTGGATTGAGAAGCAAAAGTGTTTTGCTGCTCCGGAGAACAAATCAAATGGGATACTTCACGTGGAGGTTTGCCAACTTATCAGATGCTGATATGCACCGCACATGCGTGCCTCATGCCGAAATTAGCTTGCAGTTGGCAGCACGCATCCTTTCGAGCCGGCAGCGAGCCGGAGAGGAATAAATTTCATGGTTGGATTGGATATATTCCATTTCAAATACCCGGAGCACATGCATATGCTGGTGCACTGTGCTGTACTGCCCAAGGTGGTGGGTGCCTTCATTGTTGGGCGTGACGGACACACGATGTGGAATTAGGCAATGTAATGTCATCATCAGTGTGAGAATCTAAAACAAAATGTCATCATCATCCGGTAATAGATAAGAGGGATTACACGTCGACCAGTGCCTGTATAGATGGCGTGCTTGTTCTTTGCTTGCTTAGCGTCGACGCTTTGAATAGATGGCGCTCACATCATCCCTTAGGTCATGGAAAACAGACCAAGGCTTCAACGAAACAATCACTGCACTCTTTACTTGCCACGAAGACGGTTGGATTGTTAGTGTTGGACTAATGCATGCAAGGGAGTGGGTAATCTATAGCACGGCAAGAATTCCTGCGGGCTCTGCGAGGTGAGATTGGAAGAATCGGATAAAGTACAGTCCAGTCAAAACCTCAGACTTAACCCGACGCCTAAACCGCGAGTATCGATGGAGACGTGCCAGAAAAATCAATTTGAACACCACAACCGCGAGACGCGAGTTGAATTCCACCACCAGAGACGGATAAACCGACACAGTATACACACGGAAGGCACCAGGCATAACATAATCATCAGTCGACAACCAAGCGAATAGTTGCAATGCAGAGAGGTTCATAAACATGGATCAAACAAAGGAGGCGATAATGCCCGACGAGAAATAATAATTAAGCTACTAGCAGCATTTCTCCGTCAGAGAAGGATAGCTCAGTCCCAGTTGCACGAAGTTGATCGTCGTCTTCCTCCCTCCCTCCCTCCTCAGAAGCAGGCGTCCAGGAGACAGCAGCAGCAAAGGGCGGCCAGGCTGTCGCAAACAAAATATCACGAGGGAATCATGAGACACAACATCCAAGGCAGGATAAAGTAGCTGCATAATATACTGACAGCATTTGCAACAGGTATATGCCTATGGCCGGCATAATGAAACATTATGCGAATTCGAAATGCTCAACCATGCATGCATCCATCCCATAATATAAGAACGTTTCTGACACTAGTATATACTGACAGTTAGTGCGCGAGCATCAACATAATTAGTACTACCTCCGTCCCGGTGTATAAGTCATTCGCGTAGTTCTAGGTCGATAATTTAACTATCTAAATATGTATTATATGTGACAAAAAATATATATTTAGAAACTACATCCGCGTGGAAATCTAGTGATATACTTTTCATGACATATAACACATATTTAATTCCTCAAATCGATGACCTAGAACTACGCGAATGACTTATACACCCGGACGGAGGAAGTACTGTAATCAAGCTGATCAAGAATCTCCGGTGAGAGGAGAGCCGTTCTTCGTGAGAGTATAAACAGTTAGTGCGTGAGCATCTACGTAATTAGTACTGCAATAAAGCTGGTTGATAATCTTGGGTCAGAGGATAGCCGTTCTTTGGTAGTAGTACCGCGTCGTCAACGGAAATATTAATTCCCGATTCCCAGGTTGCGTCGTCCCGAAGGAATCTAATCTAAAGAAACGAAAGCCTATTTCTATACTACCACCAACATTTCCTGATCTTATCTCAAAATGCCAGTCCAAAACGCATGTGAGACGCCTCCCGGAAATCGTGACCGCGGAGACGCATTTTTTTCGGTTAGTGCTGGCTGCTGGCTACACAACAGATGGCTTTGACTTGCATCCGAGCCGTCGATTTCAAGATCTGATGGTTCATGTCACGGCATGAGGGACGAGACAACCCCTCGCCGCTTTGAGTGGAGCGACCGACACGTCGTCGAGACCGCGACTGCTCTCTCTCTCGCCCTTTCCCGAGGGTTCGCTCACGCGTCAAGTCGCGGTCCGCACCACCCAAGCAAACGTGCGCGAGACGGCCACCGACGGGGAAGAGGGTCGCCGCCGGCGTGCCCGGGCAGATCTGACCCGGCCGATCATGAAATCCAGCCCTCCAGACAAGCCGCGGGCCGACTTTGAATCTAATCTAGCACTCGGGACACCGCAGGCAGGGAAAATCGAGGGGATGGGACGAGGAGCTTACCATCCCTCCATGAAGGAAGGCCCGCTGCTCTGCTGCTGCTGCTGGTGGGGCGGCGGCTGCTGCGCGTACTGCGGCGGGTAGCCCTGCTGGGGGTAGCCGGCTGGCGGGTAGCCCTGCGCCGGGGGCGGGTAGCCGGCCGGAGGGTACCCCGGCGGCGGGTAGCCGCCCTTGTCCCCGTACCCTGAGGATTCAAAGATTCACAGGCCGAGATTCAGCACAAAAAGAGGAAAGGAGCACCGCGCAGGAAAGGAAAAGAGAATCGATGGGCACGGATGGAGACGGGAATCGACAACGGGGTGCGCACCTTGCGGCGGCGGGGCGCCGACGGGTGGCTGCTGGTTGTAGTAGCTCATCTCCTCCTCCTCCTCCTCTGGCTCCGGGGTCTCTCGCTGGTTCCTCGCGGCGATCGGGGCACGCGCAGCGGGGCTTTGTTTGAGGCGCTGGGGTTTGGGTGATTTGGCGGGCGTCAGGTCAGGTGGTTTTTATATAGCGGAATTCGCCAAACCGCGTCCCGAACGTGGGCGCATGGGCCTGCTTGGTGGGGCCGCGTGACGCGTTTGCCCGGCCCGGGTTTCGCCGCGGCGCGCACTTGCCTGCCCGTTGCCACCAGAACGCGTCGCCCGGGCCGGGTGAATCTATGGTTACCTGGTTATATCCTTTTGGCAAATGTGGGTAGGAGGTGCCTGATTTGGTTCCTTTTCCTTCGGTGTACCTGCCAAGCGTGTAGCCCGGGCACGCGGTTCTTTTGGCTCGGAACATGCATTTGTTGTAACAAGATATTTTGAGCCATGACTGTGAGTATCACCTAGAGACTGAGTCGACACATCATTTTAAGACTGACGAAGTTGTCTTAGACATCTTTTGTAGTTGATGGGAAAGTCTTCTATCAACTGAACGTACATCGCTAAAAGACCTGGAATAAATCCAGCAAAATGTAAGCATTAATGTCAAGTTTGGTATTTGAACTATTGTGAGCAGAGTATATCACCGCCCTTCTAACCATCCAACCATATTTTGGTTTACGGCATGTATGATTGTTGATAAGGGCATGTACAATGGTGCTATCTTAGAAGTGCCACATAGGATAAATGATGAGGTGGAGAAGAGAGAACTCATAAGAAAAGGCTTGTCTTCTCTTATTTAAGATAAGACAAGAGATGATCTCTTAGCACAATTTGTCTCACCATGTGTTTAAGGAATTGCTAGTTATTGAAGATAAGGCTAAGATATAACCCATTGTAGACATATTTTTTTTGTCATCTCTAAATTACATGTAAGACTTAAGATAAGATTGTCTTATCAACCATTGTACATGCCCTAAGGCAGCCTTATTTTAAGTCCGCCACATAAGCTAAATAAAAAATAAAAAGATGTATAATGACTTATTTCGATCATCTTTTAACTAAAAAAGAAGGCAAGTCTTTTCTTAGGCTAGTCATAGTGGGAGTAACTTAGCTATGAACATAACGCACCCAAAACATATATGCTTATATCGCATGGAGTTAATGAGGAGAGAGATGCTTGTGGTAACATAAGGCTGGTTGTAATGGGCAACACATATACTAGTATCAGATACTACCTCCCTAATGCATATATTACTATCATGTAGTACTCTATTTAATGTCATGCATGATACATAGTAGTATAACATTTATTATGATACGGTATCATGATATGATACTCAACCCTCTCTTTTTTTATTTAATTCTATGACACCTCATCAAAATTGTCTAATTGGCATGTATGATACTACCATTACTACCAGCCTAATATGTTACCGTAACATAACGCACCCCAATGCAAAATGAGTCTATAACATAATAAATGAAGGTTTGCATGCACTTATGTTACTACCCACTATAATGGTAGTAACATAGACTACTAACATGCATATGTTACTAATCTAAGTTTCTACCCACTATGACTAGCCTTGTGATTTCTCTCTCATCCGCCTGAGCATTTATTCTATACAACACTTTTAAAATAACACCATTGTACATGCCCTGATACGTCTTGTTGTTAAATCTAACTCATGACTTATTTGATTTATCTATATCTATACCAATATAAAAAGACCCACATAGAAAGATACAACTAATCTTGGTCACACCATATCCAACGATCTAGATCGGTCAAACGGTTAGTGCTCAACATATTTAGCATTCAATTAATATCATACCAAATAGTGTATCAATGTTTGTGATATAATCACATATAATTGACATGCAGTTGATATTTACCTAATATCAACGTGCAAACAATTTCCTCTCTAATATCAACGTGCATTGCACATAAGCATTTATAGGAAAAAGAAAGAAAGAAAATATAGAAATAGTGTTTTTTCTTCTATGGTGACATTGTTCACCAGTTTGATTCAAAGGAATTGGTCATAAAAAACGGAGGAAATTTTCCTTGGACTCGGTTTTTAAGGAAAATAAAGGTATTTTACAATCCACCCAAACCTTTTCTACATTCTTGTGCACAAGTAAGGAGACAAAAGCCATAAAAAGCGCAATGTTAGATTCATATTATCTTGCATATGATTTGATCTTCATTTGACCATATGTTTTAGGAATTCTGTGTTTTTCTTATTCATGCAAATCAAATACCCAAATTCTACACATGCTTGTGTTTTCACAATGCCCTGTTTAGACATGCGATCCTATCCAATGTATGTATTTTTGAAACCCTGTGATTATGATACGATATTTCAAACACCAGCTTACAATGTACAACCACGTGCTCATACAACATCGTTACTTCAAATCCTCACCGATTCCATTTGTGCTGCCCCAAGGAGCGATGGGACAACCCGCTATTTTTTGGCGTGGAACTCTAAAGAAACGCAATCTCATCCTTGCAATTTCTTCTTCACTAGGCTTCCCTCATCTGGGATCCCTAGGGAAGAGAATCAAGTTGGCCCTTGCGAATAACTTGATGCACTATCTCCCTTCAACCCTTTGAGCGAAACATTTTTTTCTATGAATCAGGGAAGCCCTTGTATAAAAAATATTGTAGTTGTCATCTTTGCATCTTAAGAACAATGCTCATAACTTTAGCATATAAAGTGTCAAAGTGTTCCCTGGGTCTAACCAACTTGATCCTTCGACATGCAACCAACCTGATCTCAACATGGCAATGGGTGCCCGCAACCCGCGACCCGGCAGGCAGAAATCCTATGGGGTAAGGGTTTGGAAAAAAATAAATACCCATGTGTTTATAAAACGAGAAAAAATTGTACCCATCGGGTAAGCCGGGTATAGGTACGGATGGTTTAGGGTTAGGGTTTAGGGAACACATCCAATACCCATGCCCGTGTAAGTGCATCTAATGCCACCCCTTGTTGGTTTTGGAGTATTGACGACAAACTTGGTTGTGGGACTAATGTGTTTGTGAGATTTAAAGGAGAACACAGGTAGAAGTCTCTATTGATTCGGTTTACCCATCAAAGATGACCCTAAAAATGTATGAAGACATTGAATATAATGGTGGTTCACGAATTCATTTGTGTTGAAGATAATGACATGCGAAGACATTCGCTTGATGACAATGGAGCGCGAAGACATAGTCTTTTGGTAGTTTCATTTTCTTCTTTCCTAAGTCATAGGAACCACCGAACTGTTAAGTAGGGTTGAGGTAAACAAAGTTAGAAAATTGACATGATGCTCAACCTAAAATCTTATGTCTTCGAGCGAAGACTATGAGAGAAAATCTCTTCCAGAGTTGGTCGAGTCAGCTTTACTTGGAGCCCAAGCCAAGCTGTCGTGTGTGTTTGAAATCTGATTGTTGGACACGTGTCGGTTGTCCATTGACCTAGGGTCATTTCGGAAATATCATGTCGGGTTGCCTCCTGGCTATAAATAGCCCACCCCTCTACCATAAGTTGGTGGCTGCTCCGAGTTTCTGCACGGCTTTTGTCATTTGAGAGCAACCCACCTTCGAAGCCTTTGAGAGAGAATCCTTGCGAGGACAAACCCAAAACACCCAGAGCCTAGAGTGTTTTGAGCATCACTGAAGTCTTTCTATTCTGCGTGAACTGAAGACTTATTACACTTAAAGACTGTGATCTTCCAGTTGGTTAGGCGTCGCACTTTGAGCATCCAAGAGTCACTGTGGATTGTCGGTGAATGAAGTCTGTGAATGTTTGGAAGTCTACCTTGAAGACTTACCTGAGTGATTGGGCGAGATCTGCGGGTCTTAGATCAAGGGGAATAAGGCAAATACGTAGTCTTCTGAGTTCAATATCAGCCTCCCTAACCAGACGTACAGTTTTCACAACAACTAGAACTGGTCCAACAAATCAATTGTCTTCATCGAGGTACTGGTTCTATCACTTCACTCCTTACTTCTGTTTTAGTTTCGTGAAGCCTTTGCCTCCTCATTCTGTTCGAAAATATTGTGTGAAGACATTCCCTCTGATTGTATCATTGTCTTCACACTATTTTACTAAACCACTATGTTTTACCTAGTTGCTGCTTATCTTCACATACCTCTTCAATAGTTGTATGTCATTTCAGCATGCCTAGTGTAGCTTATCTTTCATTGTACCCTGTTTAGTTATTAATTCGCTTCCACGTCTTTGAAGACATTGCCTGTCTTGAAGACTTTCATAAAAATCGTCTTTTCACCCCCTCTAATCGATAACTAGCACTTTCAACCTGCATACCCATATAATAATTCCTTTTAACAGGTAGGTCTTAGGTGTCATTCACTAGGGGAAAAACCTAGCCGATTACCCTGGGCTAACACATCCGCTAGCCTCGACCTAAAATCCCCCCCTACCCATGCACACGATCTTGTTTAAATGGGTCGATCTTGTTTTGTGAACTCACAATTTTTTCTCTTATTTCGTGGGTCTTATGATATAGTCTCCTTCATTTGATCATTTTAAAGTAGGGGTTGCAGAAGTGTCTTCACTAAAATAAAATAGGGTAAATTGTTTCCCTCTTGCTTGTCTTGTAATTGGGGAAAAAAGGAAAGAATATGTGTTAATGTTTTCTCTAAAAAAATTACTTACAGACTACTCATCCATGAATGTATTAGTGCCATCTACTTCATGCTTATTGCTATCCACTTCTGAAATTAATACTCAATCCGATCCAAATTACTTGTCGCTCAAATGGATATATCTACCACTGAAATACATCTACATACATCCATTTTAGTGACAAGTAATATGGATCAAATGGAGTACCATTCTTTTTTATTTCACCGCACATCAAATTGTGATATGTATGTGTTGAAATGCTAAAATTTGGTATATGTGCTGAAATGTTGTGTTTATATGCGAAAATGCTAAAAAATACATGGTAACATGTGAATTGGGTAAGGTGGGCTTTACCCGCGGGTATTA